CAGCTCAGTTTGTGCACACTGAGGAGGGAGAGAGGGGGAGAGAGAGGGAGGAAGGGTATGATGTCTATTAACACGAGAGATAGAGGATACATATTCAACATGTTAAATAAAACCCTTTTTTTTGGGAAAGGTATACTATATACATTATATACATATACATATATACATTCAGTGCTGTTTGGGCTCTAATATTGTGAACCGACAGTATTGAGTATTTTCACATTGTACAACATCACACTTCAAGTACACTCTAATTAAAATACATAACTAAAATCATGTTAAATCAACGATAATTGTTTTTCAGATATAAAACAAATTGCAGACATTGCACAAATTAAGTGTAATCTCATGCATATCCACGAGACCACAGCACCGGACTGTTTTCAGGGTTTGGTACCAGGGTGAAATCACATTTATTTCTGCAGATCGGTTCAAACTTTAAACAACTTATCTGTTCCCAGTGCTGAGCAAACGGACTCCACACATTTATTCAAATTAATCGGGTGTCAGAAAAAATCCCATCCTCAAAATACACCGACAGTCGACTGCAGACACCTGACAACTGAAGAAGTGGCAGCATCACCCCACGCTCTGGTAGTCTCCTCACTTTTCCAGCCCATCAGTTGGTTGAAGTGAGCAATCAGCGTTTTATAACAATGTCACAAATCTCACCGCTGAAATCGAGTGGGAACTCAGACCTGCAGTACTTTATTCATTTCAGTGACATTTTCAGACGTGAAACTTTAAATTGCTGTTGTGCTTTGTGAGAATTACTGTAGCTGTGAAGTTGATGCCTCCTTTGTCCTTCCTTTTGAAACCGATGTTGGGTGGTTGTTTGTTCAGTCGGATGCCAAAGCCCTCCAGCTCGTGTTCTATTAGTCTCTTATGAAGAAGAGGCTTCAACACATCGAGCACGATGAGGATTAGGTTGCAGGTTCGAGCCACTGAAACAGAAAGTAACTACATGTAAAGACAGCACTCTCCACCACCATGAGTTAAGAAGGGTGTTTCATTCCTCCGGTAGAGCCAAAGACTTTTGAATAAATGCCAAGGTACGTTGAAGGTGTTAGAAAGGCTCACGGTGGCACAACAAATAACTAAGACACTTTGTCACCCATTTGTATTTTGCAAATAAAAAATCTTTATCAGTCTTACAAATCTTCACAGATCATATCTTTACCTGCGATGACCTGTCTGCCTCTGCCCTTGCCATCCTTGGCACCCTCAATGATTCCTGGGAGATCGAGGAGCTGGAAAGAAAGAAGGCAAGAAAACAAAATAAGCAACTTGAAAGACCCTAAACAAACAAAAGAGTATCAAACAGAGGAATTCCTGTACCTGAATTTTGGCGCCTTTGTAGCGAATGACTCCAGGTACTGTGGTGAGAGTGGTGAACTCATAGGCGGCAACCTCGGAGTACACGCCTGCAAGGTTACTTAGCAGTGTAGACTTTCCTACAGAAGGAAATCCAACGAAGCCAACACGAGCATCGCCAGTTTTTGCTACATCGAAACCTAAAACACAAAATATAATCATCAAACTTTCACCAAATACCCTCTATGATGTTAAAGACCTGTTTAGAAAATAACTACTTAGGAACAGTACAGTGGTAAAAAAAGTATACAAACCATTCAAAATTACATAATTTACCAAAGACTCTAGGTGAACTAAATCAGGATGCTCCCTCCACTGTACTTGACCGTCTGGATGATAACTTCATGTTGGTGTACAGAGCCCTTTTTACATCATATCTAGTGTTGCGTGTTCAATTCAACAATCTATAAACCATTTCTTAGTGGTAAAGAGAGTAAAAATAGAACCATAGTTTCCTCTGTGATGTACCGTGGCCATCATATGACAGAATCGAGAACAGACACGTTAACCAGCTCCAAAGCTTTTTGTAACAAATACAGGTCATCCTTAACGGATCACTTTTATTTCCATTGTAAGTAGACTGAACATTTAGAAATGATTTTACCTTCTCCTGTTCCACCACCGGTGCCTCCTTTTGGTGTGATGAGTTCCCTCCTCAGTTTGGCGAGACGTGCTTTGAGCAGACCCAAGTGGTGAGCTGTGGCCTTGTTCCTCTGCGTCCTGGCCATCTACAATGAACAACATGAGGTTTCAAACCTGTTCTTTGCTCAACAGTTTTTAAATAACCAGTGAGCCGCACAGAAAAGACACTTTTTTTTTTACCCATGACCCATAATGAAACTTTTTGATGGAAAATTACAAATCGTTTTCTTAACGGCCTCAAGAGGAGATGTGACATGACGTGTACTGGACATTAAAATGGATCTGAGAATAACAGAACAGATGAGTGTTGTATAACAAAGAAAGCTGGTACAAGGATCTGTTGGTTTCAACAACAGCTAATTGTAACTGGACTTAAGTTGTCTTGTTATTACCATTTATGACTGGCTCATGCTTAGTTACCTGATCTATTTCTGCTCAAATTATTAAGATAATCAAAGTAAGACTACTTCTCTCCTTCTTCTATTTTCAATAATACCATATTTTCTCCTCACGCTTCTTCTTTCTGGTGCTGCTGTGTCATTTAGTGAACTTCCTCTAAGGAGGATAAATAAAAGATCTCACCTTATTTAACATTAACAACGTATTTCCACTTTCAACCCTTACACATTACATGACTATAAACTCACCCAGGTTCAACTCTTTCAACTGTGCAACACTCATCTCAAGTGAAATCCTGTCACACTGTGTGTGTATATTCTGATCACACTATAATTCTATTCTATTCGTTTATTTCATTGAGTTCAGCTCTCATGTTCACTTGTTTCTTTCTTTAACTCATGTCTATCCTCTTTGCTGCTGCAACACAGTATGGGACTCACATTACTTTAGCTGTCAGCCGGTTAAATCTAATCTAAGCTAGCAACTCGAATGTTAGCAACAACCTTCAACCTGTTTTATTATAATAAGAACACAGCTACAAGTTAAATGAGTCCATTCGGATAAACGCTGTAACGTGTTAGTGAACTGAATACCAGAGAAATGAAAGATGTGAGGCCCAGCTGCGGGAGCTAGCAACATCGTTAGCTAGCAGCTAGCGGTTAGCTGAAACGTGACCGATTCACGGGGCTTCTTCTCTCTCCGCTTCTAAAACTCACCTCGCTCTCGATCTCCGCTATTTTGGCGAGTATACTCATGGTGGCGGTGATTCCTGTTCACAACCAACGCTGCCGAGAGAAGCTGGAGCGGGTTCACATGAGGAGTTAGCAAAGTTAGGTTGTGTTCGGGGAGCACACGTTGAGCCGCCGTGTGCGGGATGCCGGGAAATCTCGCGAGAACACGTGGCTATGCCGTGCCCAGTGCGAGGACTCACAGGAGGAAAAACTATAGTCAGACAAGGAATGCGGTAAAACTGCCTTAAATCTAAAAATTACATTTAAAAAATAAATTTAGTTTGGATGGATTTTACTGAACTGGACTGATAGTTGTCTTAAAAAATGTGTTTATAAAATGAAACAGATGAAACAGAATGGTTTTAGTTTGTTTGCAATGTGCAAGGGAATGATATTTCACAGCTTCAGTAAATCCAAAAAGCAAAATAATGAGTTGATGTTTAAGATCTCTTCAGATGGACGGTCGACACGGCGGCCCCCTGCTGTTCACATTTCGTAATAGCAACAATTCTACCTTGTACAAAACGGAGCCATAATAATACAAGCTTACATTTAATATAGTAAGAGGACAGTGAACCTTGATGAAACACAATCATAAATAATCAGACATTTAATAAACACCATAATACATTTTGCCAGGTGTTTAATAAATGCCCATCAAATGCCAGTGGGGCTCAAGCTGCTCTACTGAATTGCATATGAAATAAAAAAAAAAAAGTTTTACCTTTAACATCGCTAAAAGTATATCATGCTACACCAAGTTAGAATGAATTTGGACCACACGTTATACATATTATAATATGATGTAAATACCGTTGGTAACTTACCACCAAACATATTTTCCTATTTGAAACAAATTCTCACCCAATTTTAAAGAAAGGATACAGGCCTGTCAAATTGTATATTTTTATTGTTTAAGTCGCATACAGTGTAATCTTTCCTTGGTTTCTATATTTGCAGAAGTTTGTGGACTGAACATCGGACATTTTCTTGACCATCTAATTTGCTTATTGGTGCGTGGGCTGGTTGAACCGGATCAGTGCTGCTGATTTGGTGAGTGACCACCAGATCTTCTTTGACCCAATTTATATGCTCTGTGAAGAGGTTACATCAACAACTATATGTTCATATGATGGTTACTGATGTCCAGGGGCTTTATTTGGCCACATCAGGGCTTTCCACACAGTTGATATGGAGATAGATGTAATTTTTGACAGTAAAACCTTTCAATCTAAAATACGCCAGCCACTATAGATAAGATTTACCTGTTCTACTCTTGAATACTGCTCATCCACCTCAGTCCAGAGCATCTTCTAAAGCGTATGTAAAAAATTTAATGAAAACTGAAGAATAATCTAATTTAAGATATGAATAATTCAGGAAAGAACCAAATCAGCAATTATATGTATGCATCTTAACTCCAGTCCAGGAAATATGAAACCAAATGCTAGATATGCTGCATCTGTCACTTCTCACATCTCTGTTGTTGTCTGCTTTGTTGTAGGAGGTGTGCTTGTCCTCATCAAAATATATAAAAATAGGCATTTTCTTTTTAAAAGGTAGATACGGTGTCTGCGGGTTGTTGTTCAGCATTTGTTGTCGCCCGGCTGGGATGACAGCGAGCATAAATAGCACAGGGAGGAACTACGGAAGAACAGGAGGTGAGACACAGCAAGACAAGGGGTAATTACAGATTATGTGATCACTCAATACATTTCTTCAGACTTCTGCAGGTCTAAGTTGATGCTTTTTAGTAATAAAAAACAAACAACCAAAAAGGGCTTTGACTTGATTCATCAACGTTATAGCCACGACTTGAGAACTGACAGTAATAAACCCATGCCCAAACATCTCAAATGTTCTTCTTTTTAATGAGCAACGCATCTTTATATCATATGTCAGTCAGCATTGAAGTGCATTGATTAAAAAGTAAGTGCAAGTACAGATTTTAATGCATTCATTTCGACTAGAGGATTAAATTATTTGCAATTGCGCCCCAAAAATAGTCATTCTACAGGGGCACTCTGCAAAAAGAAAACCACTATAGTTGATGCTGTTTCTAACCTAAAAGATATATGCTTTTTCCCCCCTTCATTTCAAGCTTTTTAAGTTATCTCTGAGTGACAGTGTGCAGGAGCGATTTTCATCTTCTCCTGCTATCAGTTCACTCCAGACCGTCAAACACAGCACATTTCCTCAACATCATCATTCTCCCTGACTGATTTCTCATTGGTTTGCTTTGAGGAGCAGAGAAACTGAATCAAGCCCGCAGAAGCACAAAGTCTGTGAGAAGCACTATTTTAGTGCAATAGTTTCACACTTGTTAAACCTTGCCACCTAAAACTGGCTACCTCTGCATAGAGATGGAGTAGAGTCCTTATCGTAGCCCCATCGATAGGCCTTTTAGTTTTTACTGAGGGAAGCGCCATTATTTGAGGTCTTGTCACCAGAGCAAGGATAACAACATCTTTTGAGGTAATAAAAAACAAATAACAGCATGAAGTTATCCATTAAAATCCATCTGTCCCCAGTATCTTGGATTCTGTCATCAGAATTTTGGATAATACGTATTGAAACCATAAGGCTTTACGATAAATGCAACTTGGCCATATGATGGCAAAAGTCTTCAGTGGAGGCATTCTCCTTGGACTCTAGCTGCTCTCGGAGGAGGTGGGCGGTGCAGTGGAGGACGACCTCCGTCGGGACACTGACTGTGAGCGCTCAGGGCTGTGTTTGTCATAAGGCTGGAGCTGCACCTCCAGGAAGTCCCTGTGCTGCTGGCTGATGACCTGGCTGATGAGTCCTGGCAGAGCCTGCAAGTTACTCAATAGAGTCTCCAGCTTTGTCTCCAGCAAGGCAATCCTCTTCTCCATGTCCTCGCCTCGCTCGTTCAAGTCCGATATCATGTCATACATGATGTTCTGAGTCTGGAACGAGGGAGAGGAGACACACTTAGCATCAGCATTTCCCAATTTGCTGTAATGTTTGATGGACAACCTGAAAATACTGGGTGTATTATTAACAAACAGATTAAAGATTAAAAACACAAGCTTCTTCAATTCTTCAGTAAATGTACAGATAGTGCTCAGCGTTATCAGAACATTCTGAAAAGAGGATGAGAGAAGGTTCACATTTAAAACACATCCTGTTCAGACTGCAGAGAAATGTTAAGATGAAGATAAATGTGTTTAGAGCAACTGACAAATAATAAAGGATGCATTCATGTTTTTTTCAGGTTTGTCTCAAGACAATACTCACATGTTCAGGCCTAACAGAGATCAATGTCTGAAACAATTTCAGTGAGTGATGGGGGACAACATCCACAGTCTTCATATTGTGTAAGATGCATTTAAAAGTTAAGATAAAAAAGTATTTACTTCCTACACCAGGACAAAATGTAACACAAATAGAATTTGTCCATCATCCAGTGTACTCAGGTCAAAAAAAAGGTTTGTGAGGTCACAGTGATCTTGATTTTGTATCAAAATACTGATCAGGTCATCTTTGAGTCCGACCAAAGTTTAGTTCAAGATTTGAATAAAGTCCCTTGAGGTGTTCTTGAGATATTGTGTTCACAAGAATACCTTAAAGGATGGATGGAAGACCCTGAAAACAAAAAATGCCACCAACCTCTGCTGTCTGTGGCCTGGAAAAGGGAATTTTGCAGTGAACAAGCTTTTGAAGATATCCACAATATTTGATTACACACAGTCCTCATCAAGTTTGAGGAAACTCTTAATTGCATTTTTGCAGGAGTGTGGTTCATGTGCATCCACTCACTTAACAAATCCTCACACTCCTTATAATCTTTCTTGTTTTTGCACTGTATATATTAGTTTTTATTCCATTCGTATTTTCTACATTTCCTCACACTTAAGTACTGCATGTTACTTATTACTTACTGATGCCTATTTGTGACTCTTGCTGCTGTAATATTGCAAATTTCCCCATTGTGGGACTAATAAAGTCATTGAATCTTTGTTATCTGTTTCCCAGTGACTGTCATTTGTCATCCACTTCTGGATGAAAGCAAAAAAAGTTGGTTAGAGGTTTCAAAAGGTACGAAGGACCATCGGGATACGTTTTTATTTTTTATTTTAGGATGAGAACCAGCACATTTTCTGTTTGCTAATAATTGAACATGTCACAAGAGTTCATGTTTCTATGACGCAGGCCTGGCGCAGACGGCCAAGGTGCCTGCTGACGTTGCAGGACACTATTTTACTGTTTTGATTCATGAACCATCTGCTCACAGTCCTTTAACAAACACACCGTAGCTGCAGTTTTGTAACTTCCAAAGCTCAGCTTTCCAAAATAGCCAACATCACACAGAAATCTATGTCACACACAGGATGAGGAGTGTTGCGGTTGAGGGGCGGTCTCTTAGGTATTATTCAGTGGAGGACTAATATACCCTCACGGCGCAGAGGCGACGCTGTAATCCATCACTTACCTTGTCCTGCTCTGATTTAAGGTGTGAATAATGGGATGGGTTGTTTATGTGAATCAGTGAGTGCTAAAGTTGCACCGACGCAGCTCAACCTGACAGTTAATCTAATCCTTTGTTTCTGTGAAGATTGTTCGGTGGATTAGAAATGGAATTCAGCATTTAAAGCGGCCATGTATGAACAAATAATACATGATTATATGGATGTCTTATTCTTACTATGAGCAGTGATCAGTTCTGGTAGTAGATTTCCTATTCATTTTCTCCAATAAGCTGTCAGAAAAAGAGTTTTAGGCAAGAACCAGAACGACCAGCTACGAGATATATAAAACGACCATGATCATAAAAAGGAGCGAAGGAAAAAAGAGTGAAAGAACTATGCATCCATAAATCTATGTGAATGATCACTTTCCAACAACATCCAGTGCTTCATCTTGAATTTCACCTTGTTGTAGTGTTACAATATACTGTCGTTTGTTTTTTTATGTATGTATATAACATTTCATATAATGTATAGTATAGTAACCTAGTGTAATACTGATAGTAGCCGACATTTCTATGCTAACAGCGAGCTCCACGAGCATTTTTGCCTTGACATTGCAAATAAAACATGTTTTTCTGAGAATACAGTTGTTATCATACAGGTTCCTGGCTTCTACAGGAGCAGATAACATTGTGTCACAATAGTCTACCTCAGATGGTAACAACAGTATGGCTGGTCATCAAAAATATTTATGGTATTTTTATTTCTTATGAGCTCTATAGAAACCAGGCAAAGGTCTACATGTAGCACTGGGATAAATCAAACCAAGGCCTCATCTGTAAATCATGAATCTAAACAATATAGAACATGAAAAAAGATCCTGTACACTGAGGAAACAAACAGAGGATACAACTGATGGAGCAAGAATATATGATGATCCACTTCAACCCTCCAATAAAACCAATGATGGACATTATCAACCTATAAGGAAGGAGGGGAAAGAGGAAAGGAGAGTGGAGGAGACTGTTTCAATTTTAGGACATGAAGTTTATCCCGAAAGGTGAAAGAGAAGAAAAATCTGTGGAGAGAAACAACATTCAACCAAATCCTGCACCACTGAACTTACACGAGTGACCAGGGGAGAAATATGGCGGGAAACTAAACGGAATGTAACGTTGTCCTTTTTTTCACTAAAATCTAACTTGGATCATTTTTGAATTAGCTGCTTCTCCTGTCATTGTTAATAACGGATTCATATTGTGGGGTGGGGCATGAGGTTTTCTTCCAGCCTCCGAAAGGCGGGGGCCACGCCAGAACATTTTTACATTGCACTGCAGTGGCGGTGCAGCTGCCAGTGATATGTTCGACTCCATTTAGCTCCATCTGCCCTCTCATGGCTTCAGACTCTCACAACAGCGATTACAGAGCCAGCTGAGTGGCACTGGGCCGCACGCCACCTCATCTAATGTCACATCCTCTGCCTCTCGCCACTGTTTTACAGCACAAGGCGACTGGGCAATATTAACTAATACCTTTCATGACACGCTGGCCTGAATCCAGTTTGGATGTGGTGTACTTGTGAATGTCAAAGCCCCCTGCCCGTCTCCCCTCTCCTCCTTTCTCTCCTTCTTTCTCTGCCTGTAATTCTGGCTGAATCATCACATCACAGTGTGTCTCCCTTCCCAGGTTACTGTTTCTGCTGTGTCAGGCTGGCGCACTGCCTGGTCTTTCCCTAAGGTTTGTCAACTTCTGTTTAGTGCATCTGGAGACAAATATCGGAGAATGTATTAAGAGGAAAAACTGCACTGGGTCTTTTTTTTCTCTTGCAAACAAAAGATTTTCTTCTCATTTGGTAATTTTCAGGGCAACATGTCCTGGGGATAGTAATTTTAACTGTAGAATAAAAATGATGTTGTTATTTCACACCAAAAGGATCCAAAGCTGAGGTGAGTGCAGTGCAACCACAGAATCATCACACAGATTTATTTCTAACACCTTTTGGAAAGCCTGTCTGTTTATTTGACACCTGTAGACTTTGATTATAGTAGAAAGCACAGCTAGTTAAGCGGGTGAACCAGCATGCATTGAACACACACAGGAAAGAAGCTTGTCAGGATAGTTTGTCTGTCCTCGTGCACAGTGCAGCAGTAGACTGATGGTTAGTCTAGCTTACCTTAGCAAGGTCCACTAGAGAGTTTGCTTGGTCATTCAGCTTGCGTTGCTCCATTTTAACACTTCTCAATCTGAACACAAGACCATTCAGAACCCAATGAATTAACGCTATCAGAGGTTTTATTTTACACTTTGCTTTTTTGAAAGAATTTGTGCACACACAAAGGCATACACATGGAGGACACTCCCAGGACATGCACAAGATGTGTGTATAGAGAATGCAGGGATTGCAGGGGTCAGTCTGATTGGTTGAGCTGCATGCAAGTGGAAAGGAGACCACGGAGGAGGAGAAGGAGCAGGGGGAGCTGCCACTGGAGGGAGAATGAGCTCTACATCTTACTCAACGTATACATAACCTAAAGGAATGAGGAGAAGTCATATCAGCTCACCTATCTACTGTAAATTGCATTTATGAAGCGCAATAGCTGCATGTCCGATTATAAAACACCCAAAAAAGGCTTGAGCATCTGTAAAGTACTCAGAGTGGTTAAATCAACTTTTCACCTTTTTCTAAAGTTAATGAATATTTTATCAACAGATATCAAACACTTTTTAATGAACCATTTTCTCTCTGAGACTTTCCAGTACAAACATTAAACAAATGTGACGTCAGTGAGAAAAATCACAAGGTCACTTATCCCTTCAATCAAAGCTTGTTTAATAAAGAGTCATAAAGGACGTAATTTTTCTAAGTAGCTGTTCAGGTGTGAGATAAAATGATAATATGCAATACACCCCCTCCTCACTTATTATTTTTCATCAGCCAAAAATCCTACTCCTAACTTTTGCATAAAATAGTCCATACAACATGTTTAAATAATTAACATCTGTTTAATTAGGCTTCTAAAGCCTGTTTCACTTATTCTCTCGGGGGCTAAAAAACAGCAACTGTGCATATTGTGTAGAGCATCAACCACAAATGGTTTCAAAAGAGTAGAGATTTTTTTCCCTCCTTGAATCACCCACACATTACAATAAATGACATTGGGCACAAAATAAAAAATATCAGCATGGTGGCAGGGTTGCAAATATTTCAGATTTTTAGAAAACACTAAAACTAATAATAAAACCCCATGACTAACTGAGCCAGTAATGCAGTGTGGGGTGATCATTAGGTCGTGTTACAGTAATGATGAGCACGGGGGGGATTCGAGGGGCCCCTGGGTGGGTCGGCTGATTGCCGAGATTCACCCATTCTCATGCAATGCAGGATCATTTCTCAGTCTCCTGATGACAGGCAGATGTGGAGCGAAGATGACGGGTTAGACCAACAGAGGGTGCCACAGGAGGCGCTAACGGAAAACTACAGGCAAGGGAACATGTCCTGACAACTGAGGTCCGAGATGCTTCATACAGAGCCGACTCTGGAGACAAGTGCAGAATGCTATAGCAAAATATCACGTTTCTCAATTAATCAGTTGAATGACAGAAAAAAAGGAGGAGGCACTCGATCTAAAATGATGGGAGATTATAGATATTCAGTGTAAAATGGTTTTTGGAGTTGATGTGAGACCTGTTAGAATTATACATTTCACAGTTGGATGACCGATAGCTGTCGAATGGGGTCAAAGCAGGGGGCAGCTGGAGGTCAGACGGAGAAAGGCCCATCATGCTCTGTCTTTTATGTTCTGTGAGTCTCAGTCCCTCGGTCAATCACTCCTCGTGGGCAGTTGTGCTTTTGAATGGACGCTCTAAATCTGCTCGCTATTCATCAGGGGAAAAACAGCAACGCTAAGCTTTTCACTACCTCACTAAATCTGTTATGGCAATCTCAGTTAGTGCTGTGCCATATTTACTACCCCCACGTCTTGCTTTCTTTGTCATGACCTCCTTTTACCTCACCAGGGAAGGAAATGCTAATTCTTCCTCAGTGTTATGGACAGGGTGAACATTCTGCATCCCCCCTTGTCCCCGCTGTGACAGCTTCACGCTGTCGGTTACAGTCGCAGCCTCTCGGGCACAAGTGGGATTGCTCGGAGGCTTTACGCTGACCTTCCTCTCAGGTCACTTTCCTGTTTCAATCCACTGATCTCGGCGCTAACAAGCACTCACTCTCCTGCTTCTTCCCTGTTATTCCCCACTTTAACCTTGTGGATGGGAAGGGACAGCACTCCCAAGGGGCAGAGGATAGTTAAACTCTACTCACTGAGTCGCTTGACTTAACGGCTGTCATGGCCTAAAACACACTGCAACGTCTCGCCTGTGGTGTGGTAAATTGCACCATCCAGATAACCTCAGGAGTGCTTCAGCTGTATCTGTCACTAATTCTGCAAAATTCCTCTTAGCGCAGAGATGCATGACAGCTCCATGTCCTTCATTATTATGCTGTTTACAAGCTGTGATAACACCGGATCAGCGTCTTCGCTACTGTGTCATCCAACAGAGAAATGGAGGAAATGCGGCTGCAAATGTAGTAAACAGGCGTAACAATGGTTCCACACGCCGAAAGACGACCCTGAGCCCTTATCTGCATGAGCATGACCGCTAAAGTTGTAGAACATGACTTGAGGGATAGTTGTAAATCATGTACTTGTGCTATACTGCAGGTCTGTCTCCTGTAGAGCTCTAGTCGTCATCCTTCGGTACGTGAAAGCACAGTTGGTTGGAGTTTAATCAGTGGCTTTCTGATTAAAGATCAAATTCTCATCACATCCATGCAGAAATGGAAAGAAAAACACCCTCCATCACCGATAATTGAAATTCACTTAATATGCATCTGTGGGCGTGTTTGAAAAGCGAGGCATTGGTCTACTCAATAAAAAGGCGTGAGAGGTGTTGGTGCTGGTTATTTAAAGTTGTTTGATTGCAGCATGTATGAGAGTGAATGTGAGATTCTAGTGTTTTTATCAGATTAACATGTTACTCGTCGTCTCATAAAAAAAAACTTTGTTGCATCTTAAATGAATTAATCTGGAAACATCATGATTGCGTCGTATCATTGCAGAATACTACTTTTTTAAGTGGCATGAATTTCACTTATCAAATGAGGGAGTGTAATTTTTGGTCACATTATTGGGTTCAAGGACAAGCTCTCGTTGGCATGCACACAACAGGTCTATATCTATACATGTGAGGCGAAGACTTACTTTCGAGCTCTATTGCATTGTGTAGACACAAACAGGAAAAAAAAGGAAACATGAAGTAGACAAATGAATTATTACAACATCAGATCACATATTCAGATGGTAGAAATCTCTTCAAGCTCAAGTCTGGCTGCTGTGACCCTCGTCTCTAACGCTGTCCCCTCACCTCTGAACGCCAGCAACAATTTTTCCTGGAGTTCTTCCTGCGACCGGCCCGTTATCTCCCTGTGTTTGTGCTTCTCGTGGCTGCAGCTAAGCTCACTAAGTCATATTACTTTGTCTCACCCACACAAGTGCTGGTTATCACAGTGCAACCTTCTCATAAACATGTGTAAACATCCGTCTACACACACAGAGCCTCACATCACCTATTTAAATTCTTCACTTCACATCTTTTGACTGTCTTGCCACTTTGACCATAAGAAACGTGTCAGAATATAATCTGATTTGATGTTTGCTATCGCCTCGTGATGGGTCAAGGAGAGCCGTAGGCCTCATCTGACCATCCACTTGCTGCTCGCAACTTCCTGTCCTGTCCAGGGTTTTATAACACAGGCTGCACCAAGACCTACATCTATCAGATAAGCCCTATGAAGCACAATTCCTCACAAGCAAAAGAAAAATCCGTGTCACATAGGGCTGTGACAGGAGCATGTGGGCACCATGCAGAGTCGTCGTCCTTGCACACAGAACAGGACGTGCCTTTTTTTCATCAAATCTAGTTCTTCATAGATTTAACTTGAGCTCAGAGGGATTTCCATTTCTAGGCTGTCCTAGAGAACAGGAGGTGGACATGACGCGCTGTCACCACCGCTGCAAATCGCCAAAATGCAGCAGCAAGGACAAAATGACACGACAAAGCAACCATGACAAAAGGCATTTAAACGACACAAATTTGGATGCAGCAGACAGTTTGTGTGCTTCTCTTAATCGTAAGCTAACATCTTAATGTCTGTAAAACATAAATGTCTGTTCAAAAGATTCATGAGCAAATCAAAGTTGTACACTAGAGACCACATATATATGTACAACCCATATATGTACAGAAAACCACAAAACCAAACAAACATACAAAAATGGGGACATTTTCTTTTGGTTTAATAACAAAGTCACTGTGCATCTAGAGCTTTACTGCAGGAAACCTGCCACAGATTAGACGTGCATGTGAGCCCTGTAGGTTGAAGGAAAACAAGCGTGAGGTGAGACTAAAATCAATACTGTTTTGGAGTTAGGTAGCACTCAGGGGGTCATTGGGGACCTGCTAAAAGACTGGCTGACAGGTAAGTGTCCGACCAACAGCTAGAAAAGTAGAAACCCAGATGTATCGGCCCTGAGGTCAGCCTGACATCTGACTCACAGCGAAAGAGACACGCAAGAGCTGATCTGACAGCAAAAGGTGAGAGAGAGGGAGAAGGAGAGAAAGATCAATATCATACTGCTGTGAATGTCGTAACTTGAGATAGATTAAATTGGTTTTTCTTTTCAGTACTTCTGTAAAACTGAAGCTGCTGGGAGACAGTAACCCTCATTCAAAGAAAAAGCCATTTTACACACGTTAAGCATGTCTCCATACTGAGGAAAGAAGAGAATCACAAGAATTTCTAGTGTATCAGTGATTAATATTAACATGGATTTAGCTCCTCGCATATTTTAGCATTCCCTATGATGCTGAATAAAGAGGCCAACTCTTTACCACATCTGCAAATTCAAAGTTAGTCACGTCAGCTCAAACATGGTCATGATGCAACAACATCTTTCAACAGTATAAGCACATATTTTTTGCTACAGGTGTCAAACAATTCAGATTTCAGCTTTGTGCTGCATTGGTGAGTCATACAAACACACTGCAGGGGAAGAAGGTTTGAAACCAACGCGAGTGGCGGAGGTCGGTTAATAGCCGGGGGGAGGGTACCTACTGGTGAATGGCTTGGAGAAATTTCCTCTGGTGCTTCCTGACTCTGGCGTGGTCCATCTTCCTCACCAGTTTAGTGTTCTTGTAGATGAGCCACGTCTCCCTGAGAACATTCGCAGCTGTGTTTTTCACCTAAGGTAACAGAAGAAGAGACTTGGGTCAAGAACGCAGCCGTGGGACACATCTGTGATGTCTGAGATTACCGAGCATGGAGTGTTCACCTACTCTTTTTGTTAGCTGGGTATCCATCATAAAATTGTGGACGTGTTTTTCAGCTTTGGTTAATTCCAGTTTCTTTGCCACCACAGCGACCACCAGAGCAGTGCAGCCAGCACCCTGTGAAGTAACAAGAATTGACCCGAGCAAATGTACAACGTGGATTTTCACTCATTTCATTTTCCATTTGTCATCAATTTTTCACGTCTTCAAACATTAACAACACATTAGTCACAAAGGTGATCAAGCCTCCTGTCAGTCTGTCAGCAAAAAGAAAAATTCAAACCCTGAAGCACTCAGTCTGAGTTTCTCACCATGATGCCAGTCAGGAGGCAGACTCCTTTCCCACAGTATGTGTTTGGGACCATATCCCCATATCCAATGGTAAGAAACGTGATTGAGATCAACCACATGGCTCCTAGAAAGTTGCTGGTTATGTCCTGGTTGTCATGGTACCTGTAATAAATAATAAATGCAATAGGTTGGCCAACATACATGTACCTGCAGAAACGGATGCACTCCAGCTTCTCCTATACTTCTTACATTAAAAAAGTTTGAATAAAGATTGAATCCAATGTGCATAAGACATAAAAAGACATAAAACAATGGGGCTTTAATCTTTTCCTGCAGCATGTGTAAACCTTTTTATCTTAATGCTCAGACATAGAAAGAATTCAGGAGTGTGTACATCATCTATTTTTATGCCTTATCTATGTTTCATGCCGAGCAGCACAGCATAACGTGAGAAACAGATCCAGGCACCTCTCGCAAGCTCTGACAGTCCATGCAGCAATGATCCACAGCGAGATGGTGAAGACCAGCAGCACAGTGCCAGGACAGATGGTCATGAGGGTCTTCATCACGAAGCGTGTGTTAAAGTTAATCTTGTTGAGTGCACCGATGCTGCGGGATGAAGCGTCCGTGAAGAGCTTGCTGTGCAGCAGCATGACACGGGCGATGAGGTACAGCCGCAGGAACATGGGTATGGACAAGATGATGTCCACGTCCGCATCAGTCTTGGATGGCACGTAGGAGTAGGCCAGGCGTGCGGTCCAGGTGAAGGTGTAGTTCCCTGGGATAGGGTGGATGGCGCACACCAGGATCTCCAGGCAGATGAAGAAGATGCGCTCATACGTCATGGCTATCCTCCAGTCATCGGCTGCGTTGTCCACCATAAATAACTGCAAGGAAAGGGCACTGTGAGGCTGATGGAGGGTAGAAGCAGGCTAACATTTTCATCACGGTGACACAGCACGCTACAGAAAATCATTAAACCCATTAAACAATAAGTCACAAATCGCCTGGAGTCATTAACTCACATTCTTGAGTCACATTTTTATAAAGACCTTCGCCACATATATAATAAATAACTGATATGATAAGGGCAGGACAAACGCTTTTTCAAGGCCAAAAATGACCAATGATGTATAGTGTTGAAGGTTATCTGATGAAGGTTATAAGACTGAAATATCACACCGGTGTTTTTATGGAATAAATTCTCCAAAGAATATCACTGTATTTTATACGATTTCAGATGGTTTTCCTACCTAGAGGGACCAGTAACTCCTATGTTTTCATAGTAAGAGTACGAAAGTAAAAAGTAGTTCAAACTTGAGCTGGCTTATTGAAATCTCACTATATAGATTAAACGATGAATTTGTTATTTAAAACAATTAAAAATCCTAAAATCATACAGTTACTGGCAATTATTATTGTAGGTTAAATTCATATGTTCCTTTCCAACCAGTTATTTTAATAATTTTGTGAAATTGATGGAGCACAAGGATTTGAATCGATAAATTAATTCCTAGTTAATCATCATAAGAATAAAATGTTTTAAAAGAAAAAATTGTAAAAACAGATGGATTTGCCGCTTGTCTTTATAGAAGGCAATTTTCATTTGACAAAACAACCCTTATGAAGATGTCATCTTGGGCTATGAGGAGTTGTTTTGATACATATTTTCACTTTTTACTATCAAACTAAATAGACTTTATAATAATGGAGTCTAATTCAAAATAGCTGAAAATTAATCTAATTAATATCAAAAATGAATCTTGACTAAATAGTCTTGTTTCACATTCACAAATTTCCCCCTCACTCTGTTTCTCTAACTACATTCACACCACCTGAATTAAAAAAGTCTTAGCACTCAGAAGCATTTTTAACTTCAAAGTGTCGTAAAGACGAACATCTGCCGCCTCCACATTTGCATTAGCTTCCAATCACCTGGCCATCCTGACCAGAAGGTAACTCATCTCACGGGGGATTTCAGCGTGGGTGGATTTCAACACCCCCTCATCACTCTTCTGCACCGTGTCCTCTGTCATACACAGTAGCTTCCTCACATAGTCACCTCTGCTGCTGCTCCCTCTCGCTCTTCCCCTCCCTCCTCTTCATCACTTTCAATCCAATACACAGTCATCTTCAGCCAGAAGATTCACTGCTGGGTGTATTCACCCTGAACTAACAGGCTGAGGCCACGACCACCATCAGCAGCTCATTCTCACTGATCCCTGATCACTGCTCATGGCTGAATCTCAATCTAACGCTCTATATTTACCAAGTGCAGATTAAATACTATCAAACTGTATTAGCTTCCCCCTGCATTTGTCAAATATTTCCTCTCTCTGACATCCCACCACTGATTTCCCTCCACAGCTGCTCCTGTTCTCTCCACTCAATCACCTCGAGGTCCTCTGCCTGTGTACAGACCATCACCACTGGCAGTAGATATTTCACAAAATGTTGCTGTCAGCAAATTCAAGCGAGGTTTCCTGGTGGCTGCTTTTTTTTTTTTTTTCTTCTTTTTGCCGTGAGAGCAGAAGTCTCTCTAACGGAGAGGAAAGAAACGCTGCACCTGATTACATTTAGCCACAAAACCTCCCTCATACGCTTGGTAAAGAATTATATGATGTCCTGTGAAGAAAATCTGCACGCATGATGTTTTCAAGCCTCCTTGTGAACAACACCGGGCTCAGGTTTGTCCATCTGTCAGCTCAGCTCAGCTCATTTTTAAAGAGTGCAGTTTTGTCCTCTGCACATATACCTGCCTGCATTGCATTGCATGAGAGAGACTTCAATATGCATTTAAAGTTGGACAGAAGTTTCTAGGGGCTAGGAGTGGATAGGAAATGGGATTGAGTTATGTATTTGTTCTCTTTGAGTAAAGTATTGAGAGCAAAAGGGCGTCTTTAAATTTTTGATGCCGAAGATTTATATTTTCTTTCTTTCTTGTCTTGCAGGATTTACTGAAGGAGCAGACTTGCCACATGGAGCAAACAACCAGCCTCTGTATTGCTTTATATTTTGGACCAACATGTATATTTCGACAAACTTTAGATTGAACATTATCTCTGTAAAGATTGTGAAATTTTTCCATTAACCAGCAGTTGCCGTCACTATATTCTGCACCACGTGGCGAAGTTACATATTATTAACCTACAACATACTAATGCAGTTTCAGCACCACCCACCCTGCTTTACTAATGGATGAAGCAAAGAATATTATGGACCTGAAGCTGCTCACCTTTGCCCCTTTGACTTATTTAGTAACGGTGGCAATATCCATTTGTGTAGCTCCTGGTTCAAAAATAGAGAGCAGCTGGAATACATGGTAAAAAAGAGCCATCATTTATTTATTATGTTTTTATTAATTTTGAAAATTGGGATTCAAAGTCTAACTTAATTTGGGTCTGTATAAAATGAACGTTCCATTAAGATATTAAGCTTAAATTGAGGTTTTAATGGAGAAAGTTGTTTTCTGTGAGGCAGAATTCAAACCAAATATTAATAACCCAGGACTTAAAAAAAGGCAAATATACATTTTAAGCCACATCCATCCATCCTTCTTTGAGGGTCACGCTGACATTGGCCGAGAAGCGTGGTATGCGCTGGACAGATCACCAGAGTATTGCAGGGACAACAAATAGAGACAAACAAGCATTCACAATGACAATTATTTGGATTTGGGATTCGAACCAGGAACCTTTTTGCTGTGAAGCGGATCACTGCACCACCCTTTACCTCCTCTTCACCCAAATAAAGACCCTCAGCCTTCTAAATCTAAATATGCTGCATATGTTGATTTATCAGTCAAAGAGCAGTTTTGATTTCATGAGAAATAAAATGCTGGAGGCGCACATCACGACTCGGCATCTTGCCAACTATTCTCCATTTACTTTTATTTGAGATTTCTCATCATAGCAGTAAAAAAAAAAAACATCCCAATCCTGGAGGGCTAATGGGATCTGTGACCCAGATTGTAAATTTAGCCTCGATATGTTACATAAAAATGGAAAAGTCATATTTCTCGCATTGAAGAGAAACATGTCCAAATCAAGGACAAAGTCAGCGGCAGAAAAAAAAAATCAATAACGCTGTGCTGCCACTTTTCTCACATACATGAACGCTCCACATGCTACAGTCCGACAGCTCTAACTTCACAGGACACACAACAGCAAACACTGTGCGCTCATTAGAGCTTCTGAGCCAATTATATGCCCAACAGCTACTGCACAAGAAACATCAACTCTCAACAAGCTGGCACTTAGCAGCAGCAGCAACAACAGTGAACACATGTCCCCGAACAAACAGCACCCCTGCCCCACAAAAGCCTCATTTATATTCATTCAAAAGCCACAATCAGTTTCCCCCAAACACAGAAAGACACATGAATTAAAATTTCAGGGGCAGTTGTTCATATCAAATGAGCGACACCGAGCTCCTTTAACACACTGACATCTGTCAGAGAAGTGTGTAACTCTAACCACAGCTCGTCTTGTTCAGCTTTCCAACAGAGTGTAATGTAGACATGGAAACGCAAGCTGGGGCTGCACTCTGCTGCGGTTTCTTACTTACAGAGTTGGGCCTCTGAACGCGACTAAATCTATTGTTTGCACACAGCACAATTGGCGTTTTATCTTACATTTTAAACAACAAACGCGTCCTGTCAAAAGCAGTTACAAAGTTTGTTACCTCAAAACAATGTAATTAAACATTTAAGCGTCTGGGTTGCATAAGGAAAGCCTACTTGGTGGGTAAAAGCAATTATGGTAATGGATGACCTGAAATACAATACTCAAGGGCCCTTTACCTCAGAGCATCAAATATTCCATGCTAGCAGCAGAAGCAGCAGTTATGACGGAGAGGTGGAGGAGAGAGCGTCTCTGGTGGAAAAACATTAAACTGTGCGGTTTAGACCGTGTCAGAGACAGACACTGCAGAGTCAGGAAATTAAAACAGACAGCTGACGAGCCAGGAAACTTTTAAATTAGTTACAGGAGGCTGACGAATAATTTAAACACTGCAAGTAAAAGCTTTTTTTTTTAATCGAGCCAAATTACTGACAGCTTAACACACGTTTAACAACGATTGAAGTCTTTGATATGTGAGATTCTTTTTATATCGACACAAAACAGTAGAGTAACATAATCAGAAACAGGCTTATGTGATACTCTGTTAAATTATAATTCTGCTTTATTCTAGTTTAGTAAATCAATAAATCATGTTCAGGGGGTTGGGTCAAACATATAAGGCAGATTTTTCAAACTATATATAAATAACCTAGAAACTGTAGATAAATAATAAAGACAGGTAAAAAAAAACAGGCAAAGTAAGAAGATGATTTTAGAAAATCTCATCTTTAATTAACCAGTGTCAAGCAAATTATGAAGAAAATAATGATTACAGTATAATGGGAGCTGTCCATTAAAGGGTCAGTTCATCTAAATTGCAACAAACATAAATGTCACAGCAGATTTCACTATATGCAGCAAAAGTATGAGGGGATCTGAGCTTGATCCTCTGGGGAACATGAATATCTTTACATTTCATGGGAACTCGTCCCTGAGCTGTAATATTCCTGAAGCCACAAGAGCCAGAGAGCAAGAATATTCGGTATTGTGTTTTTTTCCCAGACATAGATGTCCTTGTGCAGAACTCAGGAAAAGCTAAAGAACAAAAGCTGAGGTGAGCAACACCAAACTTATGTGTAATCGCACATAGTTGAGCACATACTGCCAACAAGGCCCATTAGTCCCCGTAAATTCAATCAAGCTGAACCAAATTAAACACTCTGATTAGTATCAGTCCTCTAAACGTGCCTTTTTTCAATCAAGATCCATTAATTATTCCCTGGGAATTAAACAAAATGCACCTCGCAATGTTAGAGAAAGTGAAA